ATTAGCCATTGAATCGGCGGCGAAATCATAATCAATACCATTAAATGAAATTTTTTTTTTCATGTTATCTGCATCAATAATAACGCAAGATCATATTTTCTCTGCGTATACAAAATTTGTTTTATGTTGCATACAAACATAAGATAATATAACGAGAAATATAATTCGAGAGACCCATAATGCGTCTTATTTTCCAAGCTAACTCGATGCGTACATCCGTTTACGAAATACATGATAAGTGAATTGGAAAGTGGTTAATTACTTTTGGTAATAAATAATGTCACCCGCAAAAGATCGAAGGTAAAAAGACATCATAATTTTTAAATTCAATGAACATTCGATTTAAAATGATATCTGCTCGTATATTAAGCCACATTACATGTATTACATTGTGTTACATATGTGCATTTAGTATATATTTAGTGTGTACGTGCGTGTCTGCTTCCGTGTGCTATTCGAATAATTGAAATAAGCCAATAAGATACATATAAAGTCAAAAATAAAAATAGTGAGTAAACAAAAGTTATGTAAGATTTAGAATCACTAATTTATCAAAAACTATACTGAAAAAACTGTACCTACCACACTGAATTATACTCGAAACTAAACTAAACTATTCAAAACTAAAGTAAACCAAACTGTACTCCAAACTATATATTCAAAATTATACTTTGTACATTACTCAAACATATTCATTTTCTATTCATTCATTTTCTATTTATACTTCATTTCTGTAATAAGTTAAATGCTGAGTATGAAGTTTTTAAAATCTGAAAGAAAAATATGAAAAACATTAATGTACATAGAAGATAATAATTTATGTAAAAAATTTTGACAGTATTTTCGTACATACGCGACAAATATCGATATTATCACAAATCGCGTATCTTCATATTTGACATGTATTACATTAAACTATTTATTTGGAGATACCAAATGATACTAACATTGCTATAAGACTGAATGGATAAAGTTATCAAGAAGCTGCTAGTGAACTTTACAGGAATTGTGCTACGTATCATGATCATTAATAATCCTTTTTTTTCGTTGATTGATAATAATGGCCAATTCATACGATATATAGCGTCTGCTATGCTCGTACTCTATTAATATAATACGAATAGAATTATTATTAATACCGAACAATAATATCGAATAATTTTAATGATATATATTACATAGTCTTATACACACGCCTTATTGTATTCAAGTATAAAATAGTTTAAATTTGTGGATAAATAATTTGTTAGATTATTTTGCAAACCCTTATAAAAAAAATTAGATCGTCCAAAAATACCTGCCATTTTCCATTAATTCAGGAAATCGGTTAGGTACCTATCTATTTCATACGGATTATAGCGTACATGATAGTTACTTTAAGCATGACTTCGTTTCCGGACCAGCAGTAAACGAAGATTTGTACAAACATGCAGATGGTATATACTAATAAAGGTGCAGCTGCAGACAGGTCCTTAACATGCATTGACAAGTAATACACACTCGTACATAATACCACTATACTACTAAAAAACTGAATGAAAAGCACTTGGTTGAATGTGACGTTTACCGCTTTGGCGTATCTGTAATGGTTTCTATGTTAGTCCTGCATTGCATATTAGTAAAACAATTACTAAATACTTTGATGTGTAATTTTATAATATATGATGTATAATATTCGTATCATTTTAATTACTATGTAAAAATTTCATTATACATTATTTACGAAAATTTGAGAATTATTTGATCCCTATCCGGGAAAAAATGTTTTATATAAAATTATATATAATTTATATAATTGTATATAAATGAACATATTTTATATATATAATCGTATATATAATTATTATATATATTATATTTATATATAATTAGGTATAAAGGTGTTCATTTATATACAATTATATAAGATTATATATAATTTTATATAATTTTATGTAATTATATATAAAACATTTTTTCTCGGGTAGGAAATACTTTTTCCAGCACAACTCACCGTGAAATTATTATAAAAGGATTGTCCCCGGATTTTTTTTTACACAAATTTTAATAGTATACTCTATGAACTGCAATAAGAAAAATATATTGTATAAACATAATTCCGGAAATTCTTTATTAGAAAGTTATAAAAAGTTAACAAAAATATGAAATGTGCAGAAATAATTTTTACTTTTGCATGTCAAAGTGCCATCCGCCCAAATTAATAAAAGGCAAACTTTTACACAGGGATTTCTTCTATCCTTCTCTAAAAAAGTGATAAATTCAGAATTACATCGATATTAAGCTTGTACTGATATTGACAGATCACATTTTGAAATGCATACTTTGAAACGCAACATTAGGTCAACTATTTCCTACATATTCTATATTTTTATTATAACTTTTGATGAAGTATTTTAGGAACTATATGTAGGTAATACTTTTTTTTTATTTTAGATCATGAAACGTACCGTTAAACGTTGTGTAAAAAATCCGAGAACACAATACAATTTGAGAACACAATTAAATCACTTTGAGAATATACATGTCCTACTGTCCAGCTTGTAACATTTTCTAATTCATCTTCTAATTCAAACAAAACAACATTATTTCAAACAAAATTAGTTCAATTATTTTTAAACAATTTTCCATTATAAATATTAATAGTTAACGTTATGAATAATACCAGTTTTTAAATGTAACAATTAAATGTGCATACATGTATGCAAACACACGCGCGTGCGCTCGTATGTGTGTATATATATATATATATATAACGTATATATTATATATATATATATAACGTAATACATACGCGTAAAAACGGATTCTTACGTGACTTACTTGTAAATGCTGAGATGATGATGTATGCACTCCGACAGTTCTATTTTGTTTTCATTCAACAAAGAGATTTCATGTCCCAGATATTTAACTGTTTTATTAATTATTAATTTGTGTAGACGACTTTCGAGTATTTCAAACTGAGCACACGTTTGCAAAATTAATCCGAAGACTAAGGTATCCGAGCCCACATTTATTATGGTGGCAAAAAATAAAATTACAATCTGATGAATGGATATAATCCAAAACATCGTAGATACAGTGTAATTACATGGTAGCCATATTCGATAAGGCAGGTGACCTTGCATAACGCTCAGTACTGATCCTATTGTAGTGCCTGTAATGGAACTTGTTGCTAAAAGTGAATATTTTATCGAGCATGATCTGCAAACGTAGAATCGAGATGAAATTTTATATGAACTTTTATCAGCATTTTATTTATACTTTTAATTTAATGAAATTTATAATCATAAGATATAAAATTATTGTATTATATTTAATTATTTTGTGCATGTGTTGTGCGATTTTTTTTTTTACTATAATTTAAATATTTAAAATGATATTGGAATAGGAAACTTCAAAAGTTTATTAATTCGAAAAATAGAAAATGACTACATTTTTATTATAAAAATTTTATTAAAAATATAATAAGTATGCTCTAAAATATATGATCAACAAATATAATAAAAGGTAAAGGACTCATAATTTATTATAGAAACAATTAGTGCTGATAAAATTTGTACGATTTGAAAATAGTACGTGCTGAATGCGTACAAATTGAATTATTGCATAAATATTTTAAGTAATAATATTTTAATATTGGAACCTTTAATAAAGATATATGAACTGACCTGATAAATTTATCAAATTTTGCTTGTATAGCTATTTCATCCTCATCTCGAGGTTTATATGGTGCTTTCAACAATATTTGCACTAAGTTGATTATCGCATTCCGACGTATCACAACAACAGTGGTTTTACAACAAACGGCAACAATACTCAAAAACATTAGAGTATTAGTAGCAAAATCATCGACATTATTGACAACAAAAATTATATCCATAAATTGAGTTAACATTAAAAAGTATTCCGAAGATACTATCATAAAGGTAAATATGTTATATAGAAGTTTGGCACCATTTGAAGACCACTCAACAGGTCGCCATATACCGCCGATGGTGAACATTAAAAAATTTAGAGTAAGTATTTGCATATTTAGATTATTTCTTTTCCAAACAATTTATTGAATATTATGCAAAAATATAGCTTCTTTCTACATGTAAAGTATCTAAAAATGTGATTTAAAACATTTAAACAATTATATTTTCTGAAATATATTAATTAAATTCAAATATATTAGTTTGAGAAAAATTGAATTTAATTTAGAAGGTAGTATAATTTTTTATAAAATAAATTTATGCTTTTAGTAAGTACTACAAATTAATGTTTAAATCATACACACTGACTATCAATTGCGACTGTCCATTTGCAACAAATTTAATTTATTTAACTTATTACAAACTGTACCGTGTACAATGACAACACGAATTGCGAATGACTTTACTTATTTACAGTATATGATTTGAGCGAATACAACTACAAATATAATATTTATATATATTTATTACGCACCTTTTTTGGAATATCTTATAATTTTAGCTAGTAATAACAGGATTAACAAATATTAATACTGATGTAATATGTTATTTTAATTTCATTTAAATATGTTATATTAAATTTTATTCAAATGTAACCGAGCACGTCTTATAATAGACTATATACAGTTTATTCTCCAACGTCTTGTCAACCGCAGTACCATCAATTATGGTCATTAAAAAGTCGTGGAGTCGTTTAATCATTAATTGTGGAGTGCATGTCTTGTGAATAATACATATAATAACCGTAAAAGTTTTCTTATTTCTAACCATTGAGAGGTACCGCCCTTTACGGCCAAGCATATTGTTTCCTGTTGAATAAAATATTTATATGTTTTCATGTTCATCGGAAGTACAAGGAATATCATATTTTCCGTAAAGCCTCTCACTTTATTACATATAAGTGCAAGATCCAGCAATAAAAGCGATGTGTAATAAATTTCTGATAGATTTCTTGAGTTACTTCTCTACATATATCTGCAAAATATGACAAGCGAGTGTTCGGGAAAATATAACAATCATATATATACATGTATTGAATTGTGCATTGATTTTGTAATGTAAGGATTTAAATTAGAAATTAAATGTGAAGAGTATGTTGGAGAATGAATTGGAAAATTGTGAATTATTTCTAATAAAAGACGTAATCCGCCAAAAAATATTGAAGGTAAGTAACGTATAAAGAGAAATTATATTTTTTTAATTCAATTAACATTCCATTTAATATGATTTCTGCTTTTATTTAAAATACATTATTGTATGTATTATATCGTGTTACATGTATACATTTAGTATGTACGTGGGTATGTGAGCCTATCTCCGCGTGTACCAATATTCGAACAATTAAAACAAGGAATAATGTTAGAAGTAAAATTGTGAACATGAGTAATTAAAATTGTAAGATTTTAAATAGCTAATTTATCAAAACTGTACTAAAAAAAATTATATTACACTAAAAATTATACTATATTCAATACTGCATTCTTATATTGCAGTATTCATATATACTTTTGATTATAAATATTTTACTTTTGTAAAATGTTAAATGCTGAATATGACGTTTTTAGGATCTGAAAAAAAAATTGAAATGTTAATATACACGAAAGAGATTATACATTTATGAAATATTCCGACTATATTTTCGTACGTACTCGACAAATATTGGTAATATTAAACAACATATCCTCACGTTTTTGACATACTATGTCAAATATTTATTTTGATACCAAATCATACTAACGTTGCTATAAGACTGAAGCGATAAAGTTATCAAGAAGCTGCTTGTGAATTTTATAGGAATTGTGCTGCGTATCATGATCATCAACAATCCTTTTTTTTCGTTGATTGATAATAATGGCCAGTTCATATTATATATAGCGTCTGCTAGGTTCATACTCTGTTAATATAAGTAATAACATAATGTAAGTAGAGTTATTATTACATAATAATATCGAATAATTTTAATGATATTATTATGATCTTATACACGAGCGTGCACACACGTTTATGCATTATATAAGATATGATTCATACAAAGAAAATGAATATTCTTATATCGCAATCGAGTATAGTATAAAATTTGTTGAACAAATTATATTTTTTTATGTTATCTTGTAAAATCTTAGTTGAGTTGTACAAAAATATCCGCCATTATTTTCAATTAACTCACAAAGATTGTGATCAAAGTTTCGCTACAAATGCTTTGAAGCGTTTGATGAGCCAATCAGAAGAAAGAATTTTATAAATAGACCAATCAAAAAACACTTTAAAGCATTTGTAGCATCACGTTGACCATACATAAAATCAGTAGTAAGATACACCTTTTTTGTATGGATACTGTTTTGAATGGATTACAGAGTATGTATGATAATTACTTTAAATATGACTTCGTTTCCGGACCAGCAGTAAAAATAGATTTGTACAAACATGCAGATGGTATATACTAATAAAGGTGCAGCTGCAGATAGGTCCTTAACATGCATTGACAAATAATACACACTTGTACATAATATCAGTATACTACTAAAAAACTGAACAAAAAGTACTTGGTTGAATATGACGTTTACCGCTTTGGCATATCTGGAATAATTTTATGTTAGCTCTGCATTACATGTATGAGCAGAATTAGGAAAGTTATTTTACAAATTACTTATATGTAAGTTACATTAGGTATATTATAGGATCTGTACAATCTGTTAGGGTATTTATATATAATACGGATATTCTTCTCGTACTCAATTATAATTGGTCAATATTTACAACTACCATCATTTACAATTACGTTTACGGTTACAATTGTAGATCGGGCTTTAGGTGACTTACTTGTAAATGCTGAGATGATGACATATGCACTCCGACAATCCTGTTTTGTTTTCATTCGATAAACAGCTTGCATGTCTCAGATATTTAACTGTTTTATTAATTATTAATTTTTGAAGACGACTTTCCAATATTTCAAATTGGGCACATGTTTGTAAAATCAATCCAAAGACTAGGGTTTCCGTGCCAACATTTATCACGGTGGCAAAAATTATAGTTACCACTTGATGAATAGATACAGTCCAAAATATCGTAGATACATTATAATCACATGGCAGCCATATTCGATAGGGCAGATGACCTTGCATAATGTTTAATACTGATCCTATTGTACCGCCTGTAATGGAACTTGTTGCTAAAAGTGAGTATTTTATCGAGCATGATCTGCAAATGTAGAACCGAGATGAAATTTTATATAAATTTTTATCACCATTTATTTATGCTTTTATTATATTGAAATTTATAATCATAAGATTTAACAATTACTGTATTATATTTAATTATTTTGTACATGTGTTGTGTAAATTATTACTGTAATTTAAATTGATATTGAAATAGGATACTTCTTTAACTAAAAATTGATTAATTAGACACAGAATAAAATTAATTATTATGTTTTTATGTAAAAAATATAAAAATATTCTGAAATATATGGTCACACACACACACACACACACACACACACACACACACACACACACACACACACACACACACACA